AGAAAAGGAAAAGATAAAGGAAGATAGAAACCAGAGGCTATTGATAAAAAGATTTTTAGAATACAACGATGTCAAAAATTAAGTGATTAAATAATAGAAAAACTTAATTAGCCAGAAAAGAAAAACAATAGATTCATGCAGAAATATAATTACAAGCAACAATGTGATTGCCAGAATAGGAAAAAAACAAACAATTAAAATAAATAAAAGCTAATTTTAGACAAATTAGCATATGAAGTTCAGTGATCTCACAAAGCAAACAAAAAATTTGTATCAATAGAATATTGTAGAAATTTTTATTTTTAGAAGCCCTAAAATCTTTAGTAAACAATGCTTTTAATAGCCAAAATAGAAAGTAAATAAAGCTATATGGTTATGTTGCAATTTAGTAAACAAAATCTTGTTTGCTATTTTTGGAAGACAATGACTTACCATATGAAAAACACAAGATCACCATATGGGAAACACAAGAAGATAGCATGTATTAAATGAATTTTTGCATATAGATGATACAACAAGACAGCATGGGTTGAATGACTTTAAACATGGTTTCAACTAGAAAGCGCAAGTAGAATTTTAACAAATATATAAAGGACTGAATTTGCCTTCCTTCACTTTAATTTTCCCAACACCTCTTCTCTAATAATTCAAACAAATAACCCAAACCTTCTTAACAAAATATCTTTACTCAACAACTTACCTACTTGGATTGCTCCCCAACTCTACTACAAGGCCCTTGAGCTGCAGAACTTGTGCAACCAACTACAGTATACCAGAACAATTTTGTGTGATATATCAAGCACAAACTTTGTTCTAAATATAGAACAATCTTATGCAGCCTCTGCAAACAACTATAATTCTCTTGGCCAAATTAAGGCTGAATTAATCTGCATGATCCTGATAAAATTGCCCCTATCACTGTATCTGTAACTGTAACTACCCTGGGACCAATGTTTTAAAAAGGTTCTTGAAGCATATGACCAAGTTGCCAATAAGAATAACTATAACTAGAAGCATATCCTTGTATAGTGCAAGAAGTCTAAAATTGACATCATGTGACTTTTGTGGCCAAAATTCCAGGGTATTACAAATCATATGATTGATTAATTATCTAATTAAATTTCACAATTTGGTTACATAAGATTAGGATATGATTGGTCAAATATAGATTTAGTACCAGGTTAGCTCTTTTTAGATATTGCAAGAGTAAAATCGTAATTTAGCTAGATCTATATAATTGCAGGTGCAATATAGAAGTTTATTCAAGACAATGGAATTTTAAAGTCAATTGTGACAGATAAATAATGTAATAATGCATAAAAGCAAATAAATAAATAATGATAAAGTTCGATCTGTAAGATCGAACCTATACTTTATTTTCTTGAAATCATTTATGAGTATTGAAATAAGAAGCAAAATACCATAATAAAGTGAGTGCAAGATATAGCACGAACTCTGCAGACTTGGGTTCCACAATATATAGATCCGGAAGCCTGGTATTCATAAGGCCATAAAGTAGACCTGTTATATATATCTATAAATCTCTGATATTCATAAAGTTATAAAGTCATAAAGTAGACCAGCTTATTTTTTTTTTCTAAGAAAAAAAACCCCCCTGATAAATCCTTAAAAAAAAAACACCAAAGACATTATAACAAAATTGTATAAAGAGATTGTGGCCTTAATTTTTATTGGATTTAATCTATATTAATCATGCCCTCCAAATAAAAGAAAACACTATCTTGAGGCTGCGAGAAAATCAAAAGCTGAGCATGCGCGTTTAAAAAAAATAAGACAATGCATCAATCTAATGATTTATTGGATTATGAATCAGTTGATGAAGAACTTGATGATCATATTTGGGTGGATGAAAAAATCGATAAAAAAGCTAATAGTTATTTTGAAGTTTTACTAGCAGCTGCTAGGAATAATAATTCTTGGAAAGTTGCAAGTAGACCTATTTATAATTATGGTGATTCTGAAAGAACATTAAGACGAAAAAAAGCTGAACTAAAAAAAGCAGCACAAAATACAAAATCTATTACTTTCTACTTATCTTTAACCAATTCTTTAAAGTTTAATGTTGCTTTGACATTTACTCATAAATTTTTAGCTGCAGATGTAGCAGTGCAATTAATGAAGACAAATTTGGTTGATGAGGCTGTAGATACAATAGTGATTGATAAGGATGGAGATACAATAATAGTTGATAATGCTATAGATTCAATAGTTGAATCAGCAGAAATAAATGTGAACGATGATAAAGCCTATATAAAACGAGCAATTGAGGAATTAGACAATATGTTAGAGAAAGACAGTAAACAAATTGATAAAGGAACTAAGGTTCGTTTACAAGCTGCATTGCAATATTTGCGTTTGAGATATCAAGGTTGGACCAAAATAAATTCAAGTGTGACAATTGCTGGGTCATTAGGCTGGGGAGCTTACAAAACAAGGTGTATTCGTACATAGGGTAATGAGTGGTTGAGGTGGCAAAAATTACCAAAAGAGAATCATGGCAAGCATGTGAAAATAGCAAGCCTTATTGATGATGAAAGAATATCAATGAAGGTAAAAAAAAAATAAAATAAATAAATTCTTTTATTTTTAAATGCAATTCCCAATTATTAGTAGCTTACTAAAGATTCTATTTTTAAATAGATAATGTCATATTTACAATACAATAAGTTTAGTGTGAACCCCAAGATTCTAAAAAAATTTGTAGAAAACGAAGTCTTTCCATCTTTAGGCATTGAAAAAAAAACAACTATAAGTGAAAGGACTGCATTAGAATGGCTTAAAAAATTAGGATGGAGTTATAAGGAATGGAAAAAGGATGTATATGTAGATGGGCATGAACGGAAGGATATAGTACGGTACCGACAAGAAGTTTTTTACCCATTATGGCTAAATTAGAACCTCTCCTTATTGAATATGATGAGAATAATTTAACATTAGTTAAAAAAAATATTTCTCTTAATCAAAAACCACATTGTATAATAACACATAATGAGACAACATTAGCCGCTAATGATAATAAAAAAACTGGATGGGGGCCTGGAGGTTTGTGTTTTTCTGGTTAATTTATTTGGTAAACTTATTTTTAATTATTTATTTATGTTTTTTTCAAATAGGTGAACAAAAATTACATCCAAAGGGACAAGGCAGGTATATTCATGTTAGTGAATTTTTATGTGAACCTTTGGGACATGTTTATTTAACTGTAGAGCAACATTTAGCCCACTCAGAAATTCCAAATAGATATGTTACAGAGACACTTGAAGTTGGTGTAAACCACGATGGTTATTGGAATGTTTAGTTGCTTGCCGAACAACTTAAGCGAACAATTGATGTTTTGGAAATTGCACTCTCGGGCACAATTTTTGTATTTGCATTTGATAATAGTTTGAGTCATGGTGCTTTTGCGAAAGATGCATTAGTAGCAAGCAGAATGAATATAAAATATGGTGGCAAACAACCACAAATGCGTCCTGGTCGATTACTTGATAGTACATCTCAAGAAATAATTTTTCTACTTGATTATAAAAATGTGAAAAAAAGAGGAAAACCGAAGAGAATAAAATGAGTAATGAAAAAAAGGAATATTTGGGATCAACAATTAAGAAGTAAATATATTAAGTGCTCAGAAAACAAAGAAAAGATCTGTTGTAACATGAGAAAATTAGCAAGACAGCCAGATTTTATAGAACAAAAAAATGTTCTTGAAGACATTGTGTATAGTCGAGATCATAAAATTATTTTTTATCCTAAATTCTATCCAGAATTAAACTATATCGAGTATTTTTGGGGTACAATAAAAAAATATACAAGAAGTCATTGCAATTACACGTTTCAAGGGTTGCGAAATATTGTACCGAAAGCTCTTGCTTCTGTAGATGTTATAACAATCTGTAAGTTTGCAAGAAGAGCATGGCGATATATGGATGCTTACAGAAAAGGATTGTTACTTGCTGTCGCTAAATTTGCTGTAAAAAAATATATGTTACATCGACAGATTCCTAAAAACATTGTCCCTTAATTGTTGTTACAAGTCAGTAAAATTGCTCTTAAGTACTTTAAATATTATTTATAATTAAATTTTTTTATTTTT